TTTTCCACCCTTTCACTTAGGGCCCCCACCTGCTGCTATTGGTTGGGAGCTGGAGAATGAGCAATAGGTCCCCTCCATTATGAATTAGGGTCCCCACCTGCCGCAAATGGGTAGGGACTGGGGGGACATTAGGTCCCCCATTTAGTTTAAAAGCTACCACTCTCTGTCCCCCATGAGAGGGATGCTATGTTTCCCCCGTTAATTATTATAATAGGTGCCCAACCATGGCGGCATGGGAGACCTGTGTCTGCTCCTTCATTATTGGATTTGGGAGGATTATTTTCTTACAACAGTGAGCAGCCACTGTCTAGTAGACCTGCCAATACTGGCGCACAGCGAGTAGGGGCAGGAGGGAGATTTTAACCTCCCTTATTTACTAATACTAAGTATTTTCGACTTGGTATTAGCAAAGTTGTCTGATAGCTCCCTAATGCTTGTGAGATTGCCATTATTTTTTATGCAATCCCACAGGGTATCAATTCAGGGGTTATCTACTAAATGACTGCAAGATTCAGCCACAGTCCGACTCAGAATTTCATTCTTTCATTTGCCCTGTCTACTAGACAGGAAGTTCGGAAATAGCAAGTGGAGTTATGATTATTATTATTATTTATAAAGCGCCAACAAGTTCCCTAGCGCTCTACAATGGGTGGACTAACAGACACATATTTGTAACCAGAGAAGTTGGACACACAGGAACAGAGGGGTTGAGGGCCCTGCTCAATGAGCTTACATGCTATAGGGTGTGGGTTATAGTGACACATAGGTAAGTGTAGGGTAAAAAAGTAGGTTACTAGGATAGTATTCATTGAGGGCTTAGTGTTTTGTTTTGATGACAGTTTCAGGAGAGGAATCAGGGTGCGGGAGGGAAAGCTGTTCACAGTTTAATTTATATGCTTTCCTTAAGAAGTACATTTTCAAAGATTTTTTGAAGGAGTGGAGAATGGGTGAAAATCTAACAGAGAGAGGAGGAAATTATTAACCAAACTATATTAATTGCTGGGAATTCAAAGTGAATTTCAAAATTGTAGGCTGAAAAAGCCAGACTAAAAACATAAATTTTTTGTTGTTGTTAATTTTGCCTTATAATTTGAAAATCACTTTGAATCCCCAGCAATTTATACTTTTGAGAATAGCCCTGACTCTGTAGGTAAAGACGCTCATTACTATTACCCATATCAAGAATTTGAATTACATCAGAATGATAAATGTCCCTAAGATTAACCCATACAATTCTGGTTTGATCTGACTCTGCAACTGGAGTATTACCTAACTGATATTTCACACATGCGTTCACTGATATACAAATTCACCTAAAACTAAAGTTGAGTGAACCCAGACTGTAAAGTTCGGGTTCGTACTGAAAACTACGGTTTTTGGACCCCGGACCCGAACACGGACATATCACCGTTTTGAAAGGCTGTAGGGCCGCCAATCAACAAGCGTTTGACTCTTGTGCCCTTAGAAGCCATCACATCCATGCCTACTATTGGCATGGCTGTGATTGGCCAGTGCAGCATGTGACCCAGCCTCTATATATAAGCTGGAGTCACGTAGCGCCGCACACACATGAGGTCCTATTAGTGTAGGGAGAGGATGCTGCCGCTGTGAGAGACAGCTTAGGAAAGAATTCTGCGAACTAGTACATTAGTGGGGTGGGGTGCACTTCATATCTGAGAGTCAAATAGAAGCTTTAAATATTGCGGTTACAATGGAGTTTTAAAAAGTAAATTTTTTTGGGGTGTTAAATAGTACATTAGTGGCATAGTACATTAGTGGGGTGCACTTCATATCTGAGAGTCAAATAGAAGCGTCTAATAGTGTGCTTACAGCGCAGTGGAAAACATTCTAATTGTTTTGCTGCTAATCTGCTAAATAGTACATTTTGGGGCGTGCACTTCATATCTGAGAGTCAAATAGAAGTGTCTAATAGTGTGCTTACTGCCCAGTGGTAAACATTCTTATTTTCTGGGTGCTAATCTGCTAAATGGTACATTTTGTGGCCTGCTCTTCATATCTGAGAGTCAAATAGAAGCATCCTCCTCCACCGCCGCTTCCACCTACACCGCCTCCTCAACCTATGGGCCACTTAGTATGAACTATGTACACAATAGCAGAGGCTTGTGAAGGCCTTTTCTCCATGCATCAGGAGTTGAGCTCAGTTTGAACAATGAAAGAGAATACCCTGCACTCCAACCCTCTCTCAAATGGATAATTCTGGTGATCCACCTGACAGCCATGCTTTAGATTTTGATTTATGTTCTTCCAAAGCTAAAATCAAAGATTCCATCTAGTGCTATTTTATGGCTCAGCTGTATTTTTAGTCTTTATGTTATTTTAAGCGATTTCCCTATCCACATTTGTTTGCAGGACACTTGTCCTACTCTTACCCCCATTTTACTTGCTTTTGCAGCTCTCTAGTCCTATCCAGGAGTTTTTTAGAGACATTTTTGTCCCTATTGACTTCAATAAGGTTCGGGGTCAAGTTCGGGGTCAAATTCAAGCCTTTTTTCAAAGTTCGGCCAAACCCGACGGTCCCGAACATCCAGGTGTCCGCTCAACTCTACCTAAAACCATTCCAATGTAAATCTTAAATTGACTAGATAAATGACTAAAATGTAACATCTGTTGGTCACTAGTATTGACAAAGTTATGTTTACGTTTCTCAGTCTACATAGTATTACATTTTAATATCAAACTTTATTTTTAATTTAATTAGGTTGTACATTTAGTTCGACAGTTTGTTCGGTAAACCCCATTTACCGAACCACATAAGGAAAAGGCACGAACAAGCCTTTTTCACAGTCTTGGGACAAGGTTTTAGACATGGGCTGGCAATCAGGCCCCTCAAATAGCCAGTGGTGAAGTGTAATTTGTCACACAAAGTTTCTTATACAATTAAAATAATATTAAAAGGAATCCAGAGGTGCAGTGCACAACACCAGAGATTGCCGATAAATGGGAACTTATTCAGGACTCTATCAGATATCTTGGACACTTCACCATTCAAACCAAGGACCAATCAAACTTTAAAAGCTGCCATATACTTATCTTTTTAGGGGCTCCTTAGACCTAGGGAATTCACTACCATCAACACTTCTGAATTAGGGTCATGCCTTAAAATATCACAAGTCGTCAAACATCAAGACCACTATGTACTCTCTCTGCAACATACTAAGACCAGTCAACCAGGTCAAACAGTAAATTATTACTATCCTTATTACCCTACATTTAATAAATGGTGTCCTGTAAAGACATTAGATACATATCTAGGCAACTTACAATCACCCCCTTGTCAACCTTTACTTATCTTACAGGGGAACATTCTCACTACAAGCAAGTTCATGCCTTATGTCAGAATCCTATTAGTAAGACCAGGTCTCAATCCCCTACATTATTCTGGACACTCCTTCAGGATATATGCGGCCTCTGCAGCCTCCAACAGGAACATTCCTGCCCAAATTATTAAATCACAGGGGCGCTGGAAATCCACAGCCTACTGTCGATACATTCCACAACCAGAGAAGGAAATTAGACAAGCATTCCAACACTTGGAATTATAACATTCTATGTTGTAATAATGTTGATTGAAAAAATCATATTTTGGCACATCCTTTTTGCCCACTTTATTTACAGGCCTACCAATACGTCGGTTTCGGCACACCACAACCGAATGTTGTATATTTCTACGTGTATAGTAAAGTATCAAGTACAAGATACAGCTTTTGTTGCCCCGTACATATATATATATATATATATATATATCTTCCACTGGTACCCCGCACACACACTTTCAAAAATCAAAAAATGCCGGGTGCATGACAGCCATAGCCAAAAATTACAAAATATAATGAAAAGAAGGCTTGCACTCACGGTCTGTAATAATGGTAAAATATTTCTTCTTTATTCCAGTATTCTTAGAACATATTTGTAGTCATCAACGTTTCAGCCATCGTTCGTGGATTTCATCAGGATCAGTTCAGTACAAAAAATACATTTACAAACATTTGCATTTAAATAGCTAAACAGACTAATTCTTTAATCATTAAAAACACTCACCACCTGTGTTACCGATCGCCCGGCGTCTCTCCTATTGTAGTACGCATGTGCGAACACGCCAATACCCGGAAGTAGCGTGCTCGCGTCATCATCCGTTGCCGGGGTTACCCGCTATGTTTACAAGCTCCCCGGCAACGAGATGATCCTACAGAGCGCCCGGGCAGATACACGATGATCAAACACATAGATTAAAATAACATTACATTACATGAATTAAATCCACAGATATAAGTCTAACAGCATGGTATGGGCAAGCATCCTAATCAACTTTGAACGTAGTTGTAAAACTGCAGCGGCTCCTTTGTTTTTCATATAAAAAAAGAAAACAAAGAATAAGTGCACTTGAGTATAACAATGGCTGGGTGAAGCTGGTATAAATGTCTATTCTGCACAAGGTACACACAAGTCTGGTGGAATCCATGCCTGGTTCATTTTAATAAATGTGAGCTTGTCCACGTTGGCTGTGGACAGGCGGCTGCGCTTGTCTGTGATAACGCCCCCTGCCGTGCTAAACACACGTTCAGACAACACTGGCTGCAGGGCAGGGCAGGCCACCACCTCCAAGGCATAAAGTGCAAGCTCAGGCCATGTGCCCAATTTGGAGACCCAGAAGTTGAATGGGGCAGACCCATCAATCAGTACGTGTAGGTGTGTGAACCCGTACTGTTCACCAAGTTGCTGAAATACTGCCTCCTGCTAAGACGTTCCATATTAGCTGGTGATGCTGGTTGTTGTGGCATGCTGACAAAGCTTTTCCACATTTCGGCCATGCTTACCCTGCCTTCTGAGGTGCTGGCAGTGCCCCAGCTGTGTTGGTGACCTCTTCCTCCTCCTCTGCCTTCGCCTTGTGCATCCACTGAGCCCCCGGTGTCCGTTGGGAATGCCCTCAGCAGTGCGTCTACCAGTGTGCACTTGTAGTCACGCATCCTCCGATCACCCTCCAGTGAGGGAATTAAGGACAGCACGTTGTCCTTGTAACGGGATTCCAGCACGGTGGCCATCCAGTAATCATCACAAGTTAGAATGTGGGCATCTCGGCAGTCGTTGCGCAGTCACTTTAGTGACTCTAGATAACCTCGGGCCAATCGAAGTTCCCCATGACAGCGATGACGCATTCGGATGTCTGCCTTATCAACTTTCGATGGTACTTTCTGCGCCAACCATTGTGGCCACGGGTAACGGGGAATCAGGTTTCAATTCTGGAGAGGGAGCCTGAGAAGCAGGCGTGCACACTACCCACTCCCGACGCGGGGAGGTAGTGATGAAAAATAACAATACAGGACTCTTTCGAGGCCCTGTAATTGGAATGAGTACACTTTAAATCCTTTATCGAGGATCTGTTGGAGGGCAAGTCTGTTGCAAAGCGACTGACCCATACGTGCTGTAGCTGAAACTCCACTATCTCCTGCTGCTGCTCACACAGTCTCTCCAGCATGTGCAAGGTGGAGTTCCACCTTGTGGGCACGTCGCATATGAGGTGGTGAGCGGGAAGGCCGAAGTTACACTGCAGCGCAGACAGGCGAGGAGCAGCAGGGTGAGAACACCGAAAGCGTGCACTTTCTGCATATATCTAGGTAGTTTTTCAGGAATTTCTGCAGCACCAAATTCAGTACATGCGCCAGGCAAGGGATGTGCGTAAAACCGGCTAGGCCCAGAACTGCTACGAGATTTCGCCCATTATCGTACACCACCAGGCCAGGCTTGAGGCTCCGTGGCAACAACCACTCATCGGTCTGTTGTTCCATGCCCATCCACAGCTCCTGCTCGGTGTGGGTTTTTCCCCCCAAACATATAAGGTTTAAAACAGCCTGCTGTCGTTTCCCCCTGGCTGTGCTGAAGTTGGTGGTGTTAGCTGACCAGATGAGGAGGTTGTAGAGGAGGAGGAAGCGGAGTAGAAGGAGGAGGCAACAGGAGGCAAAGAGAAATGCCCTGCAATCCTCGTGGCGGAAGGACATGTGCCAAACTGATATCCACCTCAGACCCAGCCACCACTACATTTGCCCAGTGTGCAGTTAGGGAGATATAGAGTCCCTGCCCGTGCTTACTGGTCCACGTATTAGTGGTTATGTGGACCTTGCCACAGATGGCGCTGCGCAGTGCACACCTGATTTTGTCGGCCAATTGGTTGTGCAGGGAAGGGATGGCTCGCCTGGAAAAGTAGTGGCGGCTGGGAATCACTTACTGTGGGACAGCCACTGCCATCAGGTTTTAAAAACTGTTCGTCTCCACCAGATGGAATGACAGCATTTCAAAGGCCAGGAATTTTGAAATGCTGGCATTCAGGGCCAGGGATCGCAGGTGGGTAGGGGGTACTTCCTCTTTCTCTCCAGTGTTTGGGAGATGGACAGCTGAACGCATCCATGGGACAGTGTGGAGATATTTGGGGACTGTGGTGGACCTGGTGGCGTTGCTGCCACATCCTCTGTTTGCGGGGTGGCAGGTGCCACTGTGACTCCAGAGGTGGAGGAAGAGGCTGAGAAAGCAGCTGAAGAAGAAGCAAGAGGAGCCTGACACCTTTCTTGGTTTTTGAGGTGCTTACTCCACTGCAGCTCGTGCTTGGCATGTAGATGCCTGGTCATGAAGTTTGTGCTCAGGTTTAGAACGTTAATGCCTCGCTTCAGGCTCTGATTGCACAGTGTGCAAACCACTCGTGTCTTGTCGTCAGCACATTGTCTGAAGAACTGCCACTCCAGGGAACTCCTTGGAGCTGGCTTTGGTGTGCTCGGTCCCTGGGTGCAGTGGGCAGTAGCAGACATACTGTCTAGGGGACAACTGCTCCACTTTGGCACCCTGCTCCCTCTTATGCTGTGCTGGTGCCTCTGTGTGACCACTGTCTCTTCCTCCAAACTGCACACGTCACTCACATGACCTTGATTCTATGTGGGGTCTAGGACCTCATCATCCTCCACATCATCTTCCACCCACTCCTCAACCCTGCCCTCCTTGCCGGTCTGCACACTGCAGAAAGCCACAGCAGTTGGCACCTGTGTGTCGTCATCATCAGAGATCATCTAAGGTGAAAGACAGATGGCCATGGGCTGCAGATGCCAACTCTGAGTTTTCAGCAGGGGACCGGGTGGGAGACAATGTGAAGGAACTGGAAGCACTGTCAGCCACCCAATCTACTATCGCCTGTTCTTGTTCTAGCCTTACCATTCATAGACCGGCATTCGGGCCTACCAAATAACGCTGAAGGTTCTGACGCTTGCTAGCACCTGAGGAAGGTGTTACACTTGTGCGTGTAGCTGGCACAGATCGACCACGTCCTCTCCATGCAACAGGAGCTCCACCAACACCAGCAGCACCAGGACCTGGGCCACATCCCTTATTTGATGCTCTCCTCATTCTTTGTGTTCACCCACCAAACTAACAGATCATTTATGTCAGACGACAATGTAACCACCGATAGTCAACAATTAAGTTCACTGACAGTAAGGCAGTGCCGGTGTCCTAAAGAGAAAAAATGTCTAGAGATCACAAAACAGTGTGACAGGTGTAATTAATACAGTTACTTCACTGTCTCAAAAAAGTGTGATTTTTTTTAAACCAACAATGTAACAGTATTATTTAAGGGTTTTATTGGACTGCAAGAAATGCACTGCAGTCTGCAAATGTTCTATTTAGCACAAAAAGTCCCTCTGCCTCCTTTACCATCCCAAACCCCACTCCCCCTTCACCCACTACAGCCCTATCACTTTCATTCCTATCCCTGTACCCACCACAGCCTCTGTGCCTTCTTGCACACTCCTGAGCCTCTCACTCCCATATGCCTTCCTGCACCCACTACAGCCCTCATCACTCTCATCCCTATCCCTCCCTGCACACACTACAGCTCCTATCCCTTACTGCTCCCACTGCAGCCGCTATCCCCCAACCATCCTTATGCCCCCTGCACCTACTACAGCACATATCCCCCCTCATGCACTGCAGCCACTACCCACACACATACTGCAGCCTTTATATCTCCCCCAGACAGTATCTAATCAAACACACACTACAGTATCCCCCAGATGCCTACTTTAGCCCCTATCCCACACACACCCACACACACTCTTCAAGACAACCAGCCCTCTCCACTCACATACGACTGCAAACAGCTCCATCCACACACGTAAACCAACAAGGAACCAAACTGTATGTACATAATCCCACAAACAGCATCCCACACATTCAATACCACATGCAGCCTCCCTACACAAACATCACAAGAGGCATCCCCAGCATGGCAATACTGCATACAGCCTCCTTATACATGAAAACACAATTATTACAATTACTTATATAACACCAACATATTCTGCAGCATAGTACAATAGGTAAAACAAGACAAACAATGAATTCTAACTCAACATGTTGACATACAGGAACACAAGCAGCATCCCACACATGCAACCACACAAGTAGCCTCCAACCACTGCTTGCAGGAACAGACTGAAACAAAATGGATTAATGGCAAAGGAATGGGTGTGGCAAAAAAATTATATATATATATATATATATATATATTTTTTATTATTTTTTTTTTAAAGGAATCCAGGAGACTGGGAATTCCAGGAACAGAATAAAGGAATGAAACATAGAATAGATAACCAGAAAAAAACAAGAAAAACAAAACAAAAATTGTAAAAAGAGTACTGGATATCAGAAGCCAAGGCCAGACATCTGAACAGAACAGGACGTGACACAATTGCAATTAAAGGAAAACTATAGGGTTAGGAACACAAACATTTATTCCTGATCCTATACTGTTAAAACCCCCATCTAGCCCCCCTTGCCTCCCTAAATATAGCAATATCTTACTTGTGTTCAAGTCTGCAGCTGCTGGCTCTGCGCCAATCACAATGCTTCCCCATAGGATTGGCTGAGACTGTCAAAGAGGCAGATCTGGGGCAGAGCCAGCACAAGCCAAACACAGCCTTGGCCAATCCGCATCTCCTCATATAGATTAATTTAATCAATGCATCCCTAGGAGGAAAGTTCAGTGTCTGCATGCAGAGGGTGGAGACACTGAATGCCAGTACTGCACACTGTGCAGCACTGCCCCAGGAAGCACCTCTAGCAGCCTTCTGAGGAGTGGCCAGTGGATGTATCCCTAGGCTGTAATATAAACACTGAATTTTCTCTGAAAAGACCATGTTTACAGCCAAAATCCTGAAGGGAATGATTCTCACCAGAACAAATGCAATAACCTGTATTTGTTCTGGTGACTATAGTGTCCCTTTAAATTTGCTACAATTCAGAGTTTATATATACATTTATGCAACCAGGAATATTAAACTTCTAGTACTTCTCCTAAGACTAGTTTCTGAATCTGTCCCTGATAAAGATAAGGGAAATTAGAAGTAATGGTGTTAGGCTAAGAATGATAAGACTCTACTTACTTAGGACAAGACTGCTCAAGAGTCTTGAATGTTTGTTGAAGTGCTTTGGGCTCTGTTTGTACATATTAAAAGACAGATTCAGAAGCCGGGAAACTGCAGCATCTGGAGATTCCTGTAAAACCAGAAATGTCATTCAAATAAAGAAATATTTAACTCACTTTCTTTGCAATTAAGTTTTTTTATCTCAATAAATATAATTATTTATTTATTTATTTATTTATAAAATATTTTACCAGGAAAGATACATTGAGATTTCTCTCGTTTTCAAGTATGTCCTGGGTCCACAAATCATTGCATTATTACATTAGGGTACAATAAAATACAAAAACAATATTAATACAAAATAAATACAAAATTTAACATAGAACAGGTAGGAAATATATAATCAACCATGACAGGTGCATTCTGTTTTCTGTTTATAATGAGAAAAAGGAAATTGTATGCAAAAAAACTGAAATAATACATAATAATAAAGTATTTATTCACCTTCTATACACCAAACAGAACTGCAAACAGCAATTTTAAAACAATATAGACTCAAAGTGTGTATAACACAATGTAGAAGCTTTTCCTGCTGTATGTCAGATGGGGAAAAGAAAATATAGATTAAAAAATTGCATTCATTTTTCCTTTTTGATTTTTTGACTTCTAATTTCATCATGTGCGAAAATTCAGCTCAGGAATGAAGAACATATTTAACATTCTTTTTCTTATTAATGTATAATCTTTATTAACAATGTATTTATGTTTTATATACATTGTTTAAAAAATGGTAAGTGTAAAAGCAACATTGTATTTTTAACAGCATTTTAACAATATCGA